CCGGGGGGGGGGGGCGTATAATTATCAAACGCAAAATTCGTGTCAAAATGACTGAGAAAATATCTCTTTACAATACTGCAACAAGCTGACAAAGAGATTATTTACTAGCTCTACGAAATAAGATAGTGTTATGTTGAGAAAACATCTGCATTTTTTCTAGACAAGGTCTCCATCTACAGTATAAAACAATGCATGGAAACATTTCAACTTATTTGGAGGTTCGTATCTTTGGTTCAATATACGCTATGTAGATGAAAATACCACCGTTCGATTCAGTAAAAAAATATATCCTAGGTTCTATCGACAGTTTTAGTGAAATGTCAACACTATAGCGATTTATGACCTTTGAAAGTCAAGCGGGATTTTGTATATTAATATCAAATCACGCAAATATGTTTACACTTGATAAATATAAACTAGGCATACCTTTCGGCGAACATAACTTCGGCTCCTTGGGACGCATCGTCTTTGTATTACTCTTGTTCGAAAGCGAATTCAAAACACTACTTAGAGTGTTATTTTTGAGCTTGTATCTTGAAAACTTCATCTTTTATTATGGTATTTCCATTCCTGGTCTGATTGTGAACTAATTCCCGAACATCAGCGTGTGACAGGCGCGAGTAAAAACCCGATATTTTGAAAAATTAAAAATAAATATTTCTACTGGCCGTATTCAAAAGAAATTTTCTACACGAAAGCGCTTGAATAGTTGAATACAAGGAGTATTTTACTTCTTTGACTGGTGGCGAATTCCGAAGAGTTCAAGAAATATTCAAGTTTTTTCTCGATACGAAATACAGAATGTTTGGCCAAGCGGTGAGTAAAATATACGATTGTTTGCTTTGTGTATTAAATGTTAAAAAATATTACTTTTGACCATCCACAAACATGCAAGCACTAGTCAATGAGGTCAATCAATCATGCATTAAATAATTATTTAATTTTCAAAAAGACGTTTCTTGTTTAGCTTAAAAATACCTTTTGTTTCGATGTTTACACTTTGTCCCACTTTGCGATGCAAATCGTGCAGAGGCTTCGCGCCTTCCTTCGCCTTTCCCTTTGCCGCCTGCGCTCCTTCTGCGCTCCTTCCCCCAGCGGCTACGCTCGTGTTCCAAGATCCGCCATGTAAAGTGTAGTGAAATGTATCTCATTGTAATATTAAATTCTAAGAAAACTAAAGCCTCTGCGGAGGAGAGAGTACTTTTACAATAAAAAAGACATGCAAAATACAAAAATAATGCAGATAAACGGAAAGTCACATGCAATTAATTACCCGGTGGTCTCCTCGCAATTAAACGACTACAAATTCTTAAATATCGCCTCTTTATATATCACTTTCTAAAAGTCTATAACACTCGATCAAACATGGCGTCCAAAAATCCGTATATTTTCCATCAACCAAAAGTCGCTTCCGTAAACTTCGTAATCTCGTTTCACATCGCTCAAAAGTCGTTCGCTAAACTTTCGTACTAAACGAAACACTGCCACCTTCTAAAAACGTTAGCAAGTTCTCAGCAAAACAATGTTCTACCAGAATCAACGTAACTCAACATAATAAGACTATAAGAGTGTTTTTTCAAGTTTGTGTCCTTAAATTTCTTATCCTTTCTTCATCACTTATCATCATGATCAGCAGGCAGAATTACCACTAATCGGTGAACGGCTCGTTCAACTGTGACATAATCTTGACCACTATATTTATTGATGGGTTCTCCACTCTTTGATTTCTTGTACTGAACTGCGACGTTCCTAACCTTTCTATCGTTTCCGGGCTTGAATTTTGAGACCCTACCAAGTACCTCTTACATCTCCACCACTCCTTACAACAGTTCTTGTGTCTGTCATGCTTATCCGCGTGCTTCCAACTCTCTCTTCATGCCCTGCAACCATTTCTGAATCACTTTCATCCGACGACGTTTCAATAAGTCCATGAACTTTCACATCATGCAACCAGAACTTTCTCTTCGTCTCAAAACCTTCCTTACATTCATGGCAGTAATACAAATGCGTTTTGTTCTCATTGCCATTCTGATGTGTCTTATAATGATGTTTTAAACCAATTATACTAGCGTGTCCTTTATCACACACGGGGAAAATGAATGGTTTTCCTTCCAAACTCTTACGAGTTGCCTTGTTCGAGGCTTCATTGTTTCTTGATGTGTCCGTCAAGGTTTTTCCACCACCTTCCTGACTCCTTCTTGCATCAGAATTTCGCATGTCGCCATTCCTTATGTGAACATGTGTGGTGTTACTGTTGTCACTTTCTTCGCCACTGAGTACACTGCCAGCATCTTTCTTGGAGTCACTATTATTGTGGGCGGCAACATCTTTCCTTGTGATCTCTGTTGTGTTGCTGGTCATATCACCCTCATTTCTCTGCTCGGCGCTCATTCTGGTGCCAGAACTTTCCTTCGCCTTTTCATCATTTCTTGCACCACCATCATTCTTTGCTCTGATGACTTTCGTAATAAGAAAATCACTCGTTGCACCGATGTTGCGTTCCGCAGTGAGGTTTGTGTCACCAACTGCCCGAACAACTCTCCGCTTGTTTCGTACCCTCACATCATTCTTCCTTGTCTCAATGTCCTGTCTTGTAATAACATCTCTCGCTGCAGTTTCTTTTTTATCAACAACATTCTTTTGTTCGTTCCGTCCATCGGTGTCTTTTCTCTTTCCAAGAAGTTGTACATCAGGACTGCCTTTCCTCTTCTCACCAACTTGCGTAACTATTTGTCTCGTAGTGTTGCTCGGTTCAACAACTCTCTTTGCTTGTCTTCTCGGTATTTCGTTTCTCTCACTTGATCGACTCCCTTCACCGTTCACTTTAACAAGTCTATGTGTTTCCTCCACTTCTCTTGATTCATGATTTTCATGAGCTTGGCCAACGTGTGGTCTTTCCTCATCAACTTGCCTTTCTTCAACATCACTAGTTCCATTTCACTATTTAGCTCTTCTTCATTCGCATCTGTCATTGCTGCCCTTCTGTTGTCAGGTAATTCTTGCGGATTTCTTATCCACTGGTATTCTGCGGTCCATTTCTTCTCTTCGTCATCAAACGTCAATTTGCTTTCGATCAGCTTCAGTTCTCTCTCTTCTTTGAGGGTGTAATCATTGCTTCCCTTTGGACACTTTCCACATTTACAACCTCCACAGCATGGTGAGCAAGCTACCCCCAGACATTCAATGTTGTAGATGTCCTCAACATTAATGGCATTGACATGATGGGCTCGGGCACTAGTCAACTCACTGGTTGGGTGAGTTTCTTTGATGCTTGGGTGTTTGCCACCAATGCATTTTTCAAACTGGTTTTTCAGTAGCAGAAGCAACCTCGTACCCAGGCTATTTTCTCTTATACTCGGTGCACGGCCACCTGCTGAGAAAATACCCTGGTATTGTCTGGTCACGTGTCTCCCAGAATCTGGGAGGTAACAATAAATTTCTATTAGGGTGGGTAACTAAGTAGCGTTTTGTCACTAAGCAAGAAGTGAGCGAAGAAATAACGCAGAAATCATGCAGGAAATATTTACAAGATTGTATATTTTATTTGTCATGAGTACTATCCAGTTACACAATTAGAAATATCAAATGTCATTGTACCCAGAATGTCGGTGAGCAAAGATATATCAGATTTCAATATACAAGGTGTAATATACGGCTCGTCGAAGAAATTGCACGTCGTCGCAAACGTTACAAGAAAATATATTTCCAGACCGACCGATGTAGCTGTTATTTACCTGTTGAAGTCTATCCTACAAGATTTATTTAATACTGAGATGTGGAATTGTAACGAAATAGAGAGATCTTTCAATTTCTGTAATATCGCAAACTACAAACGGAACAAACCTTGCTTGTAAACAATGCTACTCGGACTGTTATTCAAAGCGCTGTGAAATTTCCGAATTCCAACATTGCCATTGACTTCGCTGAAACTTCATTGTTGCTCAAGAAATATGTTGAAGTATACCTCTCTATAATCAAACCTACGGTAAAATAATCTGACAATAGCCTACTCAAAGATAAGTCAAAGGCAAAGACTCTGCTGTGTGTAAGTTTATACAAATACTGTATATGACTGAATATTCGTAACTTATGTTTGACATTAGAGAATACAGACCACATAATAAATTTGATGTGACATTCGCGTTACTGTAATTTGTTGATCGATGTTCATACAGTATTAAATACGCGAGAAATATAATACTGACTTATTATGCATGCTGGTGTGGGACACTGCTTGTTAGTCTGTTTAGAGATCAATATATGTTGTGTTAATATACATATTTAGATTTAGAGTCTAACTATGTTGCACTAGAGATAAACGGTTTGTTCTCGAAGAAAACGTGTTAAATAATGTGAAGTAAACAAACTCTAAGACTCTAATTAAGTAAGTGTTATATCTGCATGTGCATAACAGTGTTTATGGGTATATGACTGCATGTGCATATCAGTGTTTATGCCGTGGTTTATGGAAATATATATGACTATCTTCGTGTTATAAAATGTGTACTGTATATCAAAAAAATGTTTTTATAAATATTGCTGTAGGCCGAAAAAAAGGCTAAAGCCGTAATTTTGTCTATACCGCCTGATATACGCATTTCCCTGAGGCTGAGAATTTTTGTACATTCATCTGAAAATTTTTATACTTTACTACCTGCCAACCTCTTACCTATCTACAAGTTTCAAATATGATGAACTAGTGAATTAAAAGTATTTTCAAAGATAAATCATCAACAGTTTTAAAGTGAGCATTCAGTCTCTGTTTGGCAGTGTCCACATGTTTACATTGTGATTTGTGGCAAAAAGTTACGTTTCAAAATCTATCAACCTTCAATAAACAAGACGTGCACTAATAGTAAATCGGCACAAAGTTTATCAACGTTTGCAAACAACAAATCTATAAATGGCATATTTTAGAAACAGATAAAAGCGAAAATATACAAACGTTGACGACTGACCGGTTTGATATGAAAATATGTTTGAGAGAGAATACCCAACTTCAAACTTTAAAGTATACGATTTATTTGTTTCTTGACTTGACTGTTGATAAAATGCTACAATGCTTATTTAATTTAAAAGCAAACAGAAGTATGAAATAGAAGTTAGCGGGTGCTTCGAACTATGTATCGTAAAATCCCACTCCTGGTATTTGAAATTTACAGTAACATTTTCAAGCATGTAATTTGATACTTTGCCACTCCCCCTTGGGCAATTAATTTTTGTAGAGTCACGTGACCAGACAAGACCAGGGTCTTTCCCATTCTCGTACCCAGAGCCCTTCTTACGCTCGGTTGACCGCGCGTAAGAAGGGCTCTGGGTACGAAAATGGGTCTTTCCCAAAAAGACCCTGGGTACGAGGATGTAGCAGAAGATGTCCGTTTCTTCTTTCTAGCTGTGGATGAAACACTGCATACTCGTAGCCAATCAGTAGGTCCACTGGTCCAGTCGGTCTTGCGACTTCTTCGGCACTAACGCCCTTGAACAAATGAACAACACCATCAAGATTGACAGCTTGGATGTCCGATGTGATTTTTTCTATCCCGTAAGCTTTGATAAACACAGTTTTGCCGTATTGGTTTACCAGAGGGACCCGGTACAGGTGCGACGTAAGCTTCTCATCTATTCCATCCACCTTGGTGATCGACAGTTGAACTTGTTTGCCATGCATGCAGTTTCTCTTCTTTAGCTTTACTGTACGTGATAAGACAAATAGATGCTGCACTGTCCCACAAGACGTTGGTCGACCCTTTGCTGGTTTTGATTCTTTGGATCTGTAAGAGGCAAGTACTGTTGGTCATATCACCACAAGCAGCGGCAAAGCCACTCTTTCGTTCCATGTGAATAGTTTTGTGATGTGTCCCTTTGCATCCATTTTCACCGCAGGCTTTCTTTCTCTTGCATTCCGCTAGTCGATGACTGTACTGGGATTGCCAGTAAATGAGGCGAAAAACAGGTTTCAACTCACTTTAATTATAAAAATATGGAAAATAACAAAATAATAGATTTAGGTAAAACACTGTTTTCCTTCGCACGCCATATTAGTTCCTATGCGCATGCTCTAACAAAACGTAAATAAAAACATCGTCCAAAAGGCGATCGCAGAGATTATTGTCTACAACTTTACTACAACCCAATACACCGGAAGGACTGGGGTCGATGCGATCGCGTCTTAAAATCTGAATGTAAATTTCTCTAATGCATTGTTCACTCAATATTATATAATGTCACTGTCCGTTCATACACTCTCTTTTGCTTCCGACTTGGTTTCCTGGTCTTGATCCATATCTACTGGTACTAATAACGATAATCGCTGAGCACTTCGTGACACAATGACAGCCTCGTTATGTCCTTTGTATTTTTGTACCTTTTCTCCAATTTGAAAATTCTTGTACATGACATTTACTCGACGAACTTTTCCGTCTTGACTGGGAAACACTTCTTGTACTATACCTAAACGGTACTCTCCTCGCAAGGTATTACGGTCGGCGATTATTACAACATCTCCTGGGCGCAGGTTACGGTTGGCTGTATTCCACTTGCGACGAATAACCAAGGCTGGGGCGTATAACTCCGTCCATTTCTTCCAGAACTCGTCTGTCACGATCTGGACAACATGATAACGCTTTCCTGCATTATTACCGTTAGGCTGCCATCCACCAGGATTCTTCGCCGTTGCTCTGCCCAGTAACAAGCTGTTGGGAGTAAGGATGTTTAATTCGGAATCAGCGCCCGGGAGGGTTCCGATAGGTCTTTCATTGAGGAGGTTCGTGGCTTCGCTACACACCGTCATGAACTCTTGGACTGAAAGACGTTGGTTA